GATTGATAAGATCGAAATAGATTTTAATAGTTTTCAGACAATCTTTTGGTTTTTGTTTTGTTTTTACAAATAGGACCAAATAAATCTCAGAAAATCACAATTTTTTTTTTTTCGTTTTTTAAGAATCAGCAATGAATGAGGAAGAACTTAATTGAAATATGATAAGCTAGTGTATAGCTGGTTTTTCAGCTGGTTAAAAGAAAATAATCAAGCAATTTTTTGAGTTTTCTGACCAAATTAGATAATAAAATACAGTAAAAGCTTCTTTAAAAAAACATTAAGGTGGTATTTTAAGTTGCTTGGAAGATTCTCAGTCATCCAGGTCATAGTCATTACAAAAAAGTAGAAAAATAAAAAACAATCCAATGGTCTTTTTTTCCAAGTTTGAAGAATTTTTGCTTCCTATCCAGGAAGCTTTTCCAATTAAAAATGTCAGAAATAGCGTTCAGTTCGAGGCTTTATAGAGTGGACCAAAAACAAAGCCTTATTTTGGTCCTTGTTTAGAAACATGCAAATTGAACTGGATGAACGGGCCTTTTAAGTTAAAGTTTTGGTATTACCCAGTCTTAACCAAAGCGCACAGAAACATTCAGGTTTGAAATCTTATTAGACGTGAATTTAATAAATCTCTGAACACTGATTGAATTGTATATTTCTAAAATACAATTCAATAACCATGTTAAATCCTCAAACTAAATGTTATGAACTACTGACCCTGATCTCCATTAACATCCCAACAAATCAATAGACTCTATTACAGGCTGCAATGGTTACAAAATGGACATTTTTTGCCTTTAATAATCAACGCGTCATCAGTGACGCCTTGTGGTCATGCAGAGAATTACATGAGTACTTTTTTCCATAGAACTAAATAGCAAATAAGCCCAGCAGGTCCCAGCTGAGAAAATAGAAAAAAAGAAGCCCACAGTTTATAAACTATGGGAATGTTTTTCTGCTCAACATGTTTTATTTTCTCAGCTGGCACAAGCCAGCTCTGGAAGAATCTTACTTTTTTGATAAAAGGGAGGGCTTGTTTTTACCCAAAAAGAAAAACAGAGATGAAGTGGAACTATTTATTAGGGTAGTGAAAAAAACAGAAAACAGAATTGTGTAACTTGAAAATGTTACACCAATGTGACACACAAATAGGAAAAAATGACGCACAAAAATATTTCTAGCACTTTGAAGATAATCCCAACTTTATTTAGGGAAAAATATTTGTTTCTTGGTTGATTTTTTTATTATGAAGAGATTTTCTTTAAATATTGTTAGGTTTGTGAAGATCATACAAAAAGGTTGCTTCATAATAGGAAATTAAATTGAAATAATTGGGATAATTGTAGACTTGTCTTCCACAGAGGGACTCCTCTACATTCTTTGCTGAAATTACATTTGGTTTCTGAGACAAATGACTTCTGGACTTAATTCAATTCAAAATCAAAGCTGCTTCATTGATCCCAGTGGCAGATTTAATAATGAGTTGCTGTAGATGTTGATAGCAGGAACAATCACTTGGAGCAGTTTGTCAAACAATGGATATAAGAGAAAACCTTTGACTAAAGACACTGTTGTTGTAAAAACAGTTTGAACACTTAAGGGTTTTCCATACTTTTCTTCATTTTATTAAGCTTTCATCTTTGTAAAATCATCTTCAGAGGTTCTGGAGGATTTCCCAAAACAGAATCAGCCTTCTTTATTAGTTCGTCGAGTTTTCTAACTAATTTACTCTGATGCTGAAGACATCACGCTCTCAACAGCAGACTGATAGAGGACATGCAGCATCATGCTGCAAAAATGGAAGGATCTAAGCTTCCTTAAGAAGAACATTCTGCTCCGTCTATACTTTAAAAACAGTGGTTGGTTTAGGACACTGTTTTAATAATGAACTGTTTATTTTTGGTCCTAGATATTCACAAGCACAACAGAGAAATATTTGTCTGGTTAATTTTCTGTTTGGTCGGGAAAAGATGAGCATTTGGCTCACCAGGAGAAATAAGATGAAGGAGGAAGGCTCAGTAGATGTTGAACTGATGTTCAGAGGCCTGGAGGCGGCATGCTAAAGCAAAAAGTAGTATACTTGAAGTAAATTCTATTAAGAATACTTAAGTATAAGTTTAGAAAGTATAACGAACAATGTACTTTTAGTGTACTTGAAGTATTACTAAAGTAACACTTCTTCGAAATAAATTGGGACATTTTTTTTTGTTTACTAAAGTATACTTAAAATATACTTCATGTTTGGGGGTCACTGCCCTGAGGGCCCCAATGACCACAGGTACCACTGATGTCTTGTCCTTTCTATTTCTCTAGTTTCTCATACACTGCAAAAAATCTAAATTGAGAGAAGTAATTTTTTCTTAAAATAAGTGCATTTGTTCTTGAATTCAGGTGGTAAAAGAGACATTCTGCCAATGTAACAAGACAATTTACACTTAAAATAAGAAAACACAATTGCATTGAATTATTTCAAGTGCATATTATCTAATTATCTTATTTTAAGAGTAAAATTACTAATTCCATTGGCAAACTATCTCATTTACCTACTCAAATTAAGTGTGAATACACTTATTTTAAGAAATTTTTACTTATTTCTAGATCGTTTTTGCAGTGTATTCCTTTTTCCTGATATTGCACTCACTTGGTATTGCTATGTCAACCACAACGGCTTTCCTCTGCTTTTTGTCCACCGCCACAATGTCCGCTTGGTTTGCCGTTACCATTCAGTCCATCTGTATCTGGAAGTCCCAAAGGATCATGGCTTGGTCGTTCTCTACCACCTTTGGAGGTGTTTCCCACTTTGACCTTGGGGTTTCCAGCCCATACTCTGCACAGATGTTCCTGTACACTATTCCAGCCACTTGGTTATGGCGCTCCATGTAAGCCAGCATCTTACACCCTGCAGTTATGTGCTGGATTGTCTCAGGGGCCTCTTCGCACAGACAACCCTATATATATATATATATATATATACACTATATTGCCAAAAGTATTTGCTCACCTGCCTTGACTCACATATGAGCTTAAGTGACATCCCGTTCCTAATCCATAGGGTTCAATATGACGTCGGTCCACCCTTTGCAGCTAGAACAGCTTCAACTCTTCTGGGAAGGCTGTCCACAAGGTTTAGGAGTGTGTTTATGGGAATTTTTGACCATTCTTCCAGAAGCGCATTTGTGAGGTTGCACACTGATGTTGGACGAGAAGGCCTGGCTCTCAGTCTCCGCTCTAATTCATCCCAAAGGTGTTCTATCGGGTTGAGGTCAGGACTCTGTGCAGGCCAGTCAAGTTCATCCACACCAGACTCTGTCATCCATGTCTTTATGGACCTTGCTTTGTGCACTGGTGCACAGTCATGTTGGAAGAGGAAGGGGCCAGCTCCAAACTGTTCCCACAAAGTTGGGAGCATGGAATTGTCCAAAATGTCTTGGGATGCTGAAGCATTCAGAGTTCCTTTCACTGGAACTAAGGGGCCAAGCCCAGCTCCTGAAAAACAACCCCACACCATAATCCCCCCTCCAACAAACTTTACACTTGGCACAATGCAGTCAGACAAGTACCGTTCTCCTGGCAACCGCCAAACCCAGACCCGTCCATCAGATTGCCAGATGGAGAAGCGCGATTCGTCACTCCAGAGAACGCGTCTCCACTGCTCTAGAGTCCAGTGGCGGCGTGCTTTACACCACCGCATCCGACGCTTTGCATTGCACTTGGTGATGTATGGCTTGGATGCAGCTGCTCGACCATGGAAACCCATTCCATGAAGCTCTCTGCGCACTGTTCTTGAGCTAATCTGAAGGCCACATGAAGTTTGGAGGTCTGTAGTGATTGACTCTGCAGAAAGTTGGCGACCTCTTCGCACTATGCGCGTCAGCATCCGCTGACCCCGCTCCGTCAGTTTACGTGGCCTACCACTTCGTGGCTGAGTTGCTGTCGTTCCCAAACACTTCCATTTTCTTATAATACAGCTGACAGTTGACTGTGGAATATTTAGGAGCGAGGAAATTTCACGACTGGATTTGTTGCACAGGTGGCATCCTATCACAGTTCCACGCTGGAATTCACTGAGCTCCTGAGAGCGACCCATTCTTTCACAAATGTTTGTAAAAACAGTCTGCATGCCTAGGTGCTTGAATTTATACACCTGTGGCCATGGAAGTGATTGGAACACCTGATTCCAATAATTTGGATGGGTGAGCAAATACTTTTGGCAATATAGTGTATATATATATATATATATATATATATATATATATATATATATATATATATATATATATATATATATATATATGTATGTATATATATGTATGTGTATATGTATGTATATGTATATATATATATATATATATATACATATACATCGTTTAAATGTTTTATGCTATTTTATTAACCTAAAATCTGTAGTCCATCGAACATATATTCTGTATTTTTAAATCAGTTTTCAAAAGTTAGAGCTGTTTTAATTTTTTTTATATTTGTATTTTTCTTTGCAAAATGCTTACTGTTGTGTTTTGCTTAGGTAGACAATTTTAAGATCTGTCCAGAGACAACAGATGAAAAATACCCTTTTGGCTAATTATATATATATATATATATATATATATATATATATATATATATATATATATATATATATATATATATATATATATATATATATATATATATATATATATATATATATATATATATATATATATATATATATATATATATATATATATATATATATATATATATAATATATATACATATATATATATATATATATATATATATACATATAAAAGGCCGTCCTCATATATATATATGTATTATATATTTTTTATATAATATATATGTATATATGAGGACGGCCTCCTCTGTTGCCATGGTTACGCGCGTCAGAGAGGCGGGTTCAAAAAAAGTTATCCATTTCTATTGGCCGTACGTGTGTGACGTCACGCTAATGAACTGTTTCTTCGGCTCACGTAGACGCTGCTGCTGGTGCGATCGAAGCTTGTTGGGCTCATCGAGCTGCCGTCCAAACATTCAGGTAGAATATCTGGAGGAAGAGCAGGGAACCGAGAGCTGCAGGAAGGCGGTAGGCTTCAGTTTACTTAAAAACGGTAACGTGACAAATGTTTAAACCCTCTGAAGCATATAATGTCACTGTTGTCACCACTCTGTCTGTTGTAGTAAACAATGTTTGTGTCGGAACGCGTAAGGTTAAACGTCTGTGCAAGCTAATGTCTGTCCAGGGGGCCCAATGAGAAGCATGCTGTGGATTCTAGCTGTGAGGCTAATGGCTGAGTTTACTGGACATTACTACAGCTGTAAACAACCAGCACTTGGAGCTGGGTTAGCTTGCTTCCTTGTGGATTCGTGTGTTTGTTCAGGCGAAAATGGCTATGAAAGAAAATAAGCGAATAACCTTTATGGTTCTTAAAGCGAGCTGCTATAGTGTGTGTTGTGTATTTCAGCGGTTTCTTCTGCTTCAGAGATGTTAGCTAAAGTTAGCCAGAAGCTGTCTGCCACAGAAACTTCCTTCATCCTGCAGGCCTTTGGCTCTAACTGCTGCTTTATGTGACAGCAGTGACAGGCAGACACACCGCAGTCATTATTAGAAAGGCGCACATTTGAATTTTACAGAACTTGTTTAACTGCATATGAAAAAAAATGCATATTTCACTTATAGATCTTATCTTCCTAGGAGAAGATTAAATCCCATGCATATTTTTTTCTTAGTTTGCTGTCCTTGTGTAGCTTTATCTGCACATCAGTCTATTAAAGTTTAGCTGTTGTTTTTTTATCAGCAGTTTTTAGGTTGACATTTAGTTGCTTTACTTGCAAAAATAATAATAATAAAAAAACTTTGTTAAAAAAATACATACCTGTTTTATTCTTCCTACTGTTTATTTTTCCTTTTCCATGGGGTTGGTCATGGTTAATCAGATTTCACTTTAAAATAACTGTAATGTAGTTCTTCAGTAGACTTTTTATGGTACTCTGCTTCTATTTATTAAGTCTGTAAGCCCCTTATGAGTCAGTGGACTCGTGTAATGTGATGATTATGACACCTGATCAAACCAAAATAACCTTCTTGTAAATATTATAATTTACACAACCACACTTCCTCACAGCAGACTAGAGTGGATATTCAGTAGACGAATAGTAGGGGAAAAAGAATATCCTGTTTTATTTATGTATTTTAACTAGAAAAGAGGAGACTGGAAATTGCATGCGTGTTGTTATGATCCCTGATGACTGATCCTGTGCGTAAAGCATCCCTTTCTGACTTATTTAGACTTAGTCAGGCTTTACTGTCAATTTTCTAAAATTTAAAAATGTAAACATAAGACTGGCATATGATTTACAGTTTCCAATATTCAGACTTGTGATTGATTCATCATTTCTCTTGATATTAAAGGTATAGAGGAAGATCTTTCATTTCCATCTGGATCATCTAAATAAGTGGTCCTCCTTATTGTCAATCATCCTTTTGATTTGTTTATTTAAGGCCTTCCTATGTAGCGTAGTAAACTAGCTTTACCCGCCAGCGCCCAAAATAATTTTTGCCTGCGAGTGGTTTAGCCTCGATCAATGCCCCAGGCTCTAGAACTGGCTGGCCAATCACAACGCAGAGATGTGTTCTGAATGTCTGGATGCAAAGCAGGCAGGGTTTGGAGGGTGGGACGACACAGCTGCGCGAAGCTGGAGAACGGACAACAAGGAAGATGGCAACAACTATTGAACAGTTCTCGTTTGACTCAGCTTTGGAATCAGTTTTGGAAAGATTAGACTTGGGGTTTTCGTTGAAACATGAGTAGGAAGAGGCTCTACGCTCATTCATTTTTATGAAGACGTATTCATCGTTTTACCGACAGGCTGTTTGTTTACACTCCCCCACCTGCTTTCTTTCACGCTTACTACGTCACAGTCAGTTGCGCTCATTGGTCAGAGCGTTGGCCAGTAGGCACAGACATGGTTTGAAAAACAATGGATTGTTCTCATCAACAATCTTCTGATGTCTCATTCATTGGGGCCGGACAGAATGATACATTTATTCTGGTTTATCAGGCTATGTCCTAAGTGCTCGTCCTGTTGGCTATCTTTTTCTGCGCATGCGCACTTTTAGGGGTATATCTGTGGTAAGCTACGGTTTCAGACAGTCCTTGAAGCTCACCTGTCTCACAGCGGTTCGTTTTAAAATGGCAGACGGTCGTAAGTGAAAAAATGTTTATGAAATATATAAAAAGAAGAGCAACAGAAGAGGCAGATGGATCCCAGAATGCTTTGTGCAGAGAGCTCTCTTCGCAAAGCACTATGGGATTTGCTATCATGGTGGTCCGCTGTCATGGCTCAGGCACCGCGTGGAGGATGAGTTATATGAGCAACGGAGCTAAAGCAGTGGTAATCTGTCCGAATGGTCAGTTAACTCAATTTGCTATGAAGTTCACTATATAGTCCCCGCTGTATGTGGACACAGCAAGCTTGTATGAGGTATGAGAACAGCACATTTTAAACAGGGCATGCACGAGGAGAAATGGGCTCGTGCATGCTCTTGCACGCGTTTTTAAATTTTTTTTTAAAGTACAGCTATTCGGAATCCAGACGTAGTTCCTGCAGGAGGAGGTGATATACATACTTACTTGGTTTTTGCCGTATTTCGTGAACCCAGGGACGTTGACGCCAAAGGTAATTTTGTGGCTTTCAAAAGTACGACAATCACTGCAATTTGCTGAGAGAAATAAATGTCTTCCATTGTGGAAATCAGCAACCGGCAGACTCGATGACATAGGAGCCTTTGGCCCCCCTGGCGAATTCGCCTGCGTCGCGAATTGCTTTCGAGAGTGTGAGTGAGAGTTGAAAGTTGATGAACTAGGTGAAAATGTCACAGATTTTGCGTCCGGTGTGAACACACCACATGAGTCAGAGGTTCACACTTTTTCTGTCAGTTATTTAGAATACATTACTGACAATGATGATACAAGACTGGTATCATAATTTTAAACGGGGCGTGCACGAGGAGAAATGGGGTCATGCATGCTCTTGCTCTTACACACGGCTTTTTTTTTTCTTAAAGCGGAGAGGGTGGGTCTTTTACAAAATCCCCCACGATACCTTTAAGGTTTTTAAAAGTGTCAAAGACAAAAAATATGTAAGAATTTCCCCCTCTCTAAGCCCTGTACACAGCTAAAGAAAGTAGTTAATTGAAAGTTAGTTAAATGATGTTTCAGTTTCAGATCCTATGTGGGGGTAAAATGAAGAAATGATTGAGGTACTTCTTTGAGAACGTTTTTTACATCAGTTGTCACACTCATGAGATGGCTCTAATGTGACATGGCTTGGTAGCTTACTGGAAATGTAACTCTAAGAATAAAACATGGTCGGATGCTTACAGAGAATATTTATAGACTTTCCTGTTAGGTTTATTAGTGGACATATTATCCAGTTTAAACGTCTTGCCATCACAACTAGAGATAATTAACTGCACAAATGTTCTCATTGCAGTTGTGGTAAATTGTCATTCAAGTGACTTTGAGGAAACTTTTTCTATTGCACAAGAAAAGGAGATTTACTTACTAATCCCAAAATTTAGTTCAAATGTGACATTTAAAGTCGCCCCTATATACCCTCTTATATATTTCCTTTACGCCACTTAGACCTCTATTTATCGGTTATGTTTTAAAGATTAGACTGTCCAGGATACTTTAGTTGCATCAATATATTGCAGCTATTTCTAATTGTCTTTTTTTTTTTTCTTCAACAAAAGCCAAAAAGTGTGGAATGCCTGGGTTGGCATAATGGTCAACAGATGTTTCCAAAATACAAGCTATGCTTCCTAGTGAAGATAAACACTTTGGTATTTTGTTTTGCAATATAACTTGAATCCTTGTGGAATTTTGAGGGGATTCAAGCTTGAATTTCAAATGTGAAACTGTACACATGATAAAAGGATATATATGGTAGAAATGTGGTGCTGCCACATGTATGGAGTCTTTACAGCTTTGAAGATTTAAACCATGGTGCGCTGCTAATTTGCCGATCCCCTACGCTTGAAAAGGCAGTCAACTTGTTCTGTTTGAGCCCCAAGTTTCCCTTTGTTTATACTTAATATGACATGGAACTGACATGCTGTGCTGTTGTTCCCCACTTTACCCTCCCTGCTGTGGGTTTTGTCTGCGGCCTGGAGGGGGAGCTCTGTGGAGGCCCTTTGCTATCAATGAATAAATTATTTCAGGACTAATATCATTCATTTTTTTTTTTATAGGCTTACTACTGCAGGGGCAGGGTGCTGCTATTTTTTTTTTTTTACAGGAAACTGCTCACCAGCAGTTAGTTGGTTAAATTGGCAGGATTCTTTAGTCTTTTTTTTCCATTTCAAAACCTAAATGCAAAAATTTGTGTGTGGTTTGTAATATATATAAATTACTCTTGGCTGCAGTTTGTAGAGCAAGTCTAGAAAAAGTAATGGGGGGGCACAAAACGTCTAGACAGGACAGCAATACTGTCATGTAAATGGATCAAAAAAACGTAAAAGAATAAACAAAAAAAAAAGACAATTAAAATTTGTAATTTTTGCTTTTAAGAAAGGCATTTTTTTTAGGCAGAGAATTGCTGGAAAATCAAAATATTCTTAAAAAAAAAAAAAAAAAAAAACAGAGTACACATTCAAAAAATACCTTAAATTTCTACTTTCACTTTTTGATGCTCCTTTTGAGACAAAATATATTAAAAGGAGATTCAAATCTAATATCTCTGCCCTTAAACTTGTGCAGAAAATAAATACAAACCAGGTTCCCCCTAGGATACGCTGGATTCTCTGATTCTGTGGCTTCCTTTTCTACATCACTTTCCTTATTTTTCCTCTCTATTTGACTGAGGAAATCTTTGCATTTTCACCACTTGTGAACCCAGGGACATTGACACCAAAGGTTTTGTTCATCTTTCAAACGTACAACAATCACTGCAATTTGCTGAGAGAAATCAATGTCTGCCTTTGTGGAAATCGGCAACCAGCAGACTCTTTGACATAGGAGCCTTTGGCCCCCCTGGCGAATATGTCTGCGCTGCGAATTGCTTTCGGTCAGAACAATTATAATGAGAGCAAAGGCTGATGAACTTGGTGAAAATGTCAGAGTTTGCGTTCCCACATGAGGCAGAGGTTCACACTTTGTCAGTAATTTAGAATACATTACTGACAATGATGATACAATACTAGTATCACCATGTTTAGTATGAAAACTTTGCCAGTGCAACAATTTTTAAAATTATGCAAACCAACTTTTAGTAAATTTTACTTACATACGCCAAGGAGGTTATTTTTTTTTAGTAGAGTTTGCATGTGTTTGTCTGTCTGTGTACAGGATAACTTGAGAAGTTCTGAATGGTTTTTGATGAACCTTTTTATCAAAGGTGCATCTCGTTCCAAGGAACAATCTACTACAATTTGACAATAATCCAGATCATGTGTGGGTTCTAGCTATAGGTGTAAGTCACAAGATTGGGCAAAACTTGCTTCTTGGTTGAAGTCTGCGCTCTCTGCGTACTTTACTAGTTCCTTTTTAATTAACCTCTAGTGTGATTTAGAAAGGAGCTTTTAATCATCTTTTTCATATTTGACAAATGTATTTTTCTTTGTGTGTTAAATACACCCAGGATAAAGTCAGGAACACTGATTAGAAATAACAGTTTGGAAGTAGTCCTGCTGGTAATTGGCAAGCCTTTTGTTTAAACTATTTAACTGTGGTGCAATGATTTAGTATGAAAATGTCTTTCTGTCCATGTATGGCTCAGTTTCCTTGTCACCACCTTTATAGTCTGCTTCTCCTGTAGTTTAAGAGGTCGTAGCAATTTAGCAGGTATTGAGCCTTTTGTTTTGTAATTGGTCTAAATGGAAAGGGCCCCTAAGGATCTTTCAAAACTGAAAGCCAAGTTCTCTTTCAGCTTCACATCATGGGCTGCACATTTTGGAAATGTACTGATACTTGACACAATCAACCTGAAATATAATTAGGCTTATTTGTTGCCAGTTTACTCAGCTGTTAAGATAAGGTCTAATGGAAACAGATGGACAATTACGGGGACCTGAGCAACTTGGTCTTAAAACCTGGAAACATTTTTCAATACACTTACATAGGCACTGCTTAGCTTTAAAAAGCACTGCCATTTTTTAGGCCTCAGGGCAAGTATATACAAATGACCTAGTTTTATATGCATTTTTTTTTACTAATGTTAAGCAACACTTGAACTTTAAGCCAGTAGGGGCACCATGTGCTGCCTCCAGGTTTAGAGCCAATGAAACCCTAATCAGTTTCTCAATTTTTATTTTTTATTTTTATCTGACACCAGGCACTTTGGACCGGCCAATTGAGAAGTCATGGAGTTGTAAAGACAAGGCCACACTCATCACTCTAGATTCTATCTACATCAGAGCACCAAAAAGTGTCTCATCTGTTTTGTTTGCTGCTCTGGTGTTTGAGGGGAGCTCAGACTGAGGTTAAGTGCCGCTCTGGGTCACATAATTGATTAATTGATGGATTCGACCTTCTCAAGTGACATAGGCAAGTTTTTGAGAAGAAAAGCCTACAAAGACGATTGATACTCTTTGTAGTAATTTAATGCATCTCAAATTAAGCTACGGTAATACTTGGCTCAAAAGTTACAGTTTTGGTTTTGATAACTTATTTTACTTGCTGGTGGCTTCATGAAATTCTTTTGTGAGGAAGTGGTACCTCCTCATCTTATATTTTGTTACCTTCCCCTGCATCTGTTTTAAATTAGCATTCAATAATCATAAAAATAAACTAGCATAGCAAATGTCAAATTTTTTTTTACCATGTGATCTCTAAGTTTTCTTGAAAAATTATTCAAAATCAGCAAACCTTATTAAAGCGATAAAAATAATGCATGTCCGTTAAGCTTCTCAAATATTTGCACTATTTAAAATTGTGCTTAGAAACATTTTTTCCTTAATGTTTTGGAAAATAATGGACTATTGACTTTTTTCCACAGGTCATTATAAGTCATTAAATTATTTTTTAATGAGGCCTTAATTGGCATTAAAATTCATGAAATTTGTTTATCATTGCATGTAAAATCTTAAATACAAAAAAAAGTTTATAAAAACAACTTAGTCAGATATAACTGCTTCCGTGTGTTTGTGGGGAACTGCTTATTTATATATATATATATATAGCAACATGTCTGTTTTCTTGAAGCATTTAAACCAGCGACTCTGACCATAAAAATTAATGAGTCTGCCTGGCAGGTCTTGCACACATTTTGGGTAATTATTGAGTAGGGACTCCCCGCTAAAACATAATTGAGGGCACACATCAATGAACCCATCTAAAGAATTTATTCAACCCCTTAAGGTAATAAATATATGCCAGCTTTGTTTTTTAAAAAGCTGGCCCGTTTAGACATTTTTAAAATGTACTGTTTTTTGTTCTCTCCTTGCGTTAAGCATTTTTGTCACTTTATGTATGCCTTATTCATTCACTTATTTAAACCATTAATAAGATTTCTGTTTTAGCACAAGATGCCTTGAAACCCTTGATGAAAATGAAGCTTTTGTTTTACTGCTGGGCTCTTCTTTTGATTAGCAGCTTCCAGATCTTCAGGTCCATCATCATATAAAAACCACACCTCCAAATGAGTCGTCCCATCTGATGTCTTTGCTATTTGTTTGACCCCTTCTGGTGCACAGCTCTGCAAGCGAAGTGGGAGACTCCAGGCTTCTGTTTCTGGCTGCACCATTAGCTAATCTATATGCTAATAAGAAGATGGTAATCAATGAGGTTCATGCATGGTTGGCCCCAATCAATTCTACATTGTACCAGCAAATAGCTATATTTCATAGGCAGACTGTTGGATGGCACATTATTGTTCTGGGGGCAGACCATCAGTATGCCATTATCTCTGGGTTTCATCCACTCTGTCCCACAGAAATGAATTCTGATATCATTTAAGACAAGTTTATACTCGGCCTGAAACCTCTCCAATTTCACTCATCTTAATGTGATTTTTAAACCTTTTTTTATGTGTATTCTTTCTGTTCCTTCTATAAATGGATGCATCACTGTTGCGACTCCAGTTGTGTTTTACCATAAAATGTGATCATTTAAAGAATCATTGTTAAAGTTGGACAAATGGGACCCATTGAGAAATATTGCAATATCTGATGAGTCAGATTTCGTCTTTTTTTATTTTTACACCCCTGTTGTTCAGTGGTGACAAGGACGCAGGGGCACTTGATGTGGCTCTGTTTGTAAAATAAACACTCGGTTATCACCTAAGGTTTTTACCCAAGAATCACATTTTTCTTATCTGTTTTATTTTGGGAGATCACAATTTAATGTCTGAATTTTAATATACTGCAGTTTTTCATAAAACATTTATATAGGCTTGTGAAATTTTTGATGATGATAATAATAATGGGTGTAAAAGCATATGCCACATAGTGCAGATTAAAACTAAAGGATGTCAAACAAAAACAGAAAATCTAATTCCTGAGGGTTGATTAAAAAAAAATATTGATTGCAATTATTAAAGCTGTTGTATTTTAAAACTCTGTGCCCACTTGGCTATAAATTTAAACGACGACGGCCCGTTTCTTTCGTTCAGTGATGAAAAAATGATTCAGTATTCATGCAGCATTGGAGGGGGAGGAGAGAGGGAGAGTAAAACACTGCCATCATCCTCATTAGAGTGTCCCGTCGCCCAATTGGTATGCTGCTCTGCACGAGGATTCCATAAGCACCTCATTGGCTGTCGCTAGGATACCACATAATCAGGGGGTCGGATGCTGGGATGACGAGCTGACTGCGTGTTGGGGGTTGATGAGAGGAGATCAGGGGTTTTTTGATGTAGCACAGAAACAAGCCTCACACGCGTTCATTCGTTCCCTCAGTCAGCCAACCAGCCTGCCACACAGCGAGACAGACAAAGAGGAGCAGCATCCTGCAAGAGGACCGCACGCTCCCGGGGGATGGGGCACCATACCCCTGCATCGCGTTGGGGGTGTCGGAGGAGGTAGGGAGCATGAGGGTTGGGGGTTGGAGGGGGGGCTTTGTCTCTGCATCATTTGAGTACCTCTACAGTCGTATTCATACACACAGGCTCATATTTCTCTGTGGACGTCCTGGCATCTGAGTCAATTAGTCTGGAGGAGAAAGGCTTCCTTGTGGTGATCCTTAATGTGGGTCATCAGAGTTGTCCTATATGGAGAGTGGAGGAGGGAGCCTTCCTGATGGAGGCTCCAATACTTCCTTATTGTGATGGTGTGCTTTTAGGGAGAGCCCGTCTGTCTGACAGTCTCTCAGCAGCTCTCATGCTGGCTGCACAGATCCTCCAAACACAGAACTGACAGTCTAGTGTCACATAAAGTGTTGATGTTGTAATATTATTGTGATCATGTTGAAATTCTGTACACATTTTTGTTGTTTTTACCCAAATCCATTTGAAAACCACATTGCATAAATGAGAAAATCATTTGCAATTAGTGGGGGTGTCCTCCATGGTTGGACCCAGACATGTACTGATGGATGGGTGACTCCGCTCAGAGAGGCAGCGGTTTAAGCCTTCATTACCAGAGGGGATTCTCTCCCCTCTCCATGAGGAGGTGATGGGAACTAGAGTCTGTGGTGCCCGCTAATGATGCTAAAAAAGAGGTGGGGAGTTTTTGGCTTTGTTTACCATTAAACCTTGATCATCTTTATGCACATTGTGGACAGATTTATCTGGCAGGTTTTTTTTTTTTTATTGGATTTGGCTCGTGCATTTGTATGTTTTTTTGTAGCCATTGGGCTTTATCTGCATTAAGAAAAAAGTTGTATTGGTTTGCTTTGAAGGATAAGTGGCTTATATGGTTTTGGTTTAGTTGGTTTAGTAAGGGGTCAGGATCTGCTGCATAAAGGTAACGTTCCTCGTTTATTTAATTACTTTCGTCACACCCTCTTTCCCCTCCAAGTCATTCAAATCTCCAGCCTACTCACTCGTTTTTACTGCTAACTTTCTATTAGCTCCTTGACATCCAAGCTAATGTAAACATCTCTCACATTTAAAGCTAGCAGGCCTTTGTTACATCCATTGTTAGTCCCTTTCGTTTCCTACTCCCAAGCTTATTGTTGTTACCAGAGTTTGAAAGAAACTTGTTTCTATGTCTAGAAATACAAGGAGCAGCTAAATGTTTTCTTATCTCATATAGACATTAAAGGTTTCAACAAGGGATCTAAAGCCAACATGGCTACTAGGGATGTAAACAAAATAAATTGGCTTGCCATTAACCGTAGCTTAATGTATTATTAATTTAAAATATCTTTCATATGATAAATTGATAACGTATCCTCAAAAAAAAATTCTTTCGGTGTAGTAACATTAGTTGGAACCTCAGTGTTATTGCAAAGAGAGGTTAAGCTAGAGAAGAAACATAAACCGATCGGATTATTTAGCCTGTAAGGTTGTGAATTGTAAAGATAATGACACGACAAGCATCAAATTACATGTATCATGACACCATTTATCCTGATTTATTCAGATACATTAACAAATATATTTTTTTGACTTTTTTATTTCTATTTTTTTTTTTTTTTTATGATGGCATAGCTACAGAAAACATCACAAAATCGTGTTGCTCTGCTCCAGCTGGTGTAGAGCAGCTGAATAATTATAGGCTCTTGGGCAATGCGCTGCTAACTAGTGGTTGGAGGTTTAATAGTTCTATAAAAGCAAGACAATTAAATGGATGTTTGCCTGTAAATCTTTATATATTTAAGATCCATTTCAATATCAATAGCATCTAATAAAATATCACAATATTCAGTTATATCGATTCAGATATCTGATGAAATATTGCGATATCTGATAAGTCAAATTTCTTCTTTTTTTTTATTTTTTCACCCCTGTTGTTCAGTGGTAACAAGGATGCAGAGGCACTTTATGCGGCTCTGTTTGTAAAATAAACACTTTGTTATCTCCTAAGGTTCTTACGGTACCTAAATATTGCCCATTGAGCTGTGCTGCATGGCAGAGCAGCATTGACTTCTTTGGTGTGCTTGGAGGACAAGGATTTGGAAATGGAAAAAATTAAAATACATGACAAGGCTTTTGTGTGTTAATGCTTCTCATGGAGCCAAGTTTTAACAATCCTCTGAAATCAACAATATATCAACTTTAGAGTAATCCATAAATCAATAACCTTAACGATTGATAAACCTGTAGCTTTGTGTTTTTTGCTGTTTAAACAGTCCTCTCAAACTGTCCTTCCTTTTTCCATTTAACTAAATATGAAGCAGCATTGAAAGATATGAGGAATCCAGTCGAGTTAGTCTGCTATTAGTTCTCACAGCAAAAAGATCCAATTTCTTTCATTACATCTTCACATGCCAGGCTGAGGCTAGGTTTATGTCACCTTGGAGAGCTCAGAACACATTTTCTTTTGCTTTCATGAATAACTTTAAGAACAATAGTCAAACCTTTAAAGCCTTTTATAAAAGGAGCAGTTAACAGCTCAAAAAAGCTTATTTTACATGATATAGGTCCCTTAACCTTTATAAGACTCAAACAAGAAAAGAGTAGAGTAGCAGTAGGTTATGTGATAGACTACTTATTAAAACTGGTGCCTTATTTCCTATACTGAGAAGCTGTAAAACATTTATATGAACAGTTTTAGTTTATGTTCTTACAATGCAGCTCTCTTAACCACCTCTTTTGTTCTGCAAAATGTCTTTTGAAAACTGATTTTTTATATATATAATTTTCAATTAATTGTTTTTATGAAAAGGCATCATCCTTTTGTAGAAAGGTGATTTTGTTTAGTATTTTTTTTTTCTTGGCAATGGCCAATGACTGGGAGATTAAACTCGGATATGTTATAATTTCCAATCAAGCAAAGAAAGTCATCCATACTCCTCAGCCACAATGCCACAAATTGAGTGTAAACATTTTTCCTCCAAGCATACCTCGATCAAGGTAACATTGGGTAGGCAAGAATAGGTTTTGGAGGCTTTTCTCTACGGAATATAACCAGTTTAAGGAGAATAAGAAAATGAGTGTTGCTAAAATCTCTTAAATCATAACATTACGAATCTTAAACCAGCTCTGTTTCCTTTTATCTACAGGTTACTTTTTTTGTCTTTTTTTTTTTTGGTTAAAGTTGAGTTGTTTTCTCAAAAAATTAAGAGTATATTTATACGCTCATGTTAACGAAGGTTTAAAGAACTGTGAAACAGAAACCTGAACAGAAAAGGCCTCTGCAACATTTTTGCTGCAAAGGTAGATGCATATAACTTAACAATAATTTACACGCTTTAGTTTTGTGTTATTTGAAGTACAATGCAGTGCATTTATACTTTCGTGGTAATTCTTTTCATCATTTGAATGAATTTTGATGCTTCTAACTGATATAGTAGTTTGTGTCTAAGATGCCAGAAATAATGAAGCATGGTGGGGATATTTGGGTAATGGGAGAAGTGGCAAAAAATGTGTTGCAACGGATTTCATCATTATATATTATAGTTGTTCTGTAGAAGAGAACTTTGATTTCATTTGGCTCCTGCCTCAGGTCTGGGTTGGCCGTTGATGGTTTGTATATGTCTAAATTTAAACGAATTTTAGCTCTGCATCCACATCTGCATCTGCTGATTTTGGTTTTATCATTTTTAAGATAGCTTTTTAAAATAGCTGGCTTGTCTTGGTTGTTTAGCTGCATTTGTTTAAACAAATAATTGCAATGGTGTCTTTGCAGGTCTGCCTTAAAGGTGGATCAGACAACGGCAGCTAAACCAGAATGCTTCTGCCTGCATCCTCACTAAAACTAGGAAATTGGAGCACATCCGCTATCGTTCAAAAGTCCTCACACCGAGAATAGACTTTAAAATAGTTCTGTTAGCCAATAAATCACTCATTAGCTTGGCCACCAAACGCATCACTGACTTATTCAGTGTTGTGCATGAACATGTTCAATGAACGGAGTGGATATTTTTAGTGAATGGTGAACTGAATGGATCAGTTTTGAATTAATTAATGTAAATGGGAGTGACGTTCACTCTTAGAGTAATCAGAAACACACACAGCTCAACACTTTTCAATGGATAACATCAGGTTTTTACGTCACTTATTACAGCAAATGAGAACAGACCAGCATGTCTACTTCTAGTACTAGTCAGCGTGATTCAGACTCATCTGCTGGTATTGCTGATGCAGCTTTTGTATAACGTTTGGCAGAGTTTAATGAACTAACAAAGGAAGACTCGGATAGAAAAAACACTTTGTGCAAACTGTTCACCGGGACTTAACAAACTAGTCCGTACGTCAGCCACGTCTACTTCAAATTTAAAGCAACACATCGAGTTAAAGCATCCAAGCTATCAAAATAAATGAGGAATTGAAGCTATTTCATATTCATCTTTGTGAAAAGAACTTTGAGCTTGTTCTTTTTAATTATGAACTGGAACAACATTGGAAGTGTAGTCATAGACCGTCCAGACCTCTCAGGTCTTTTGGCTCAAGTCTGCTCTGCATAACCAGAGACGGAACCAAACAATAGAGAAACAGCTTTTAGTTCTTAGGCTCCACTTATCTGAAATAACCTGCCAGCTGACTGAAAATACAGAAACTCTAAGATGCTTTAAATCACTCTTAAAACCTAAATGTGTTTTTCCAACTGAGGGTACAAAAAATAATTTATTTTTATTTGTTCTTTTGTTTAACTCTCTCTCTCGAATCCTCTTTTCTCAAATCAGCTGTGGGGATGTTCTGTAGAGAAAAAGAAAAAACAGAATTAGTTTCCATGTCAAAAAAAAAGGAAAGACCAAAAAACCCAAAGTATTAACAGAAAGTTGGATCTGGTGAGCCGACCAAAGATAACAAAACGGTACAGCAGGGCAGAGGAAGCCCCTACTAGTACCGGACTATAGCAAAAATAAACTGCTAAAAGAAATAAAGAACAGGAAAACCGGTCCCACCGGGCCAAAATCACAACGAAAACAGCATCCAAACAAAGACTAACAAAAATACCGCATGGCAGGTCGGAGCCGTCAGCTGCGGCCTACAGACCCTGGAGACAGGTGCGCCTCCTCCGTGGTGGAGATGAACGAGCGAGCATAAGGGCGGGACGCTCCCAAATCAAAACCCAGCCTATTGATAGGTGGTCCAACGGCCACTAATTAACGAGGCCAAATAATTTACAAAAAAATTATATAAACTCCAAAATATACTAAACAAACAAAAAAAAAAACTATTCAACTAAAGTCAATATTAAACCATCTAGAAAGAAGAATTAACAAAATAATTGTGTCCGAAGCACGTAACACATGTCATTGCAGTGTAATTTTCCATTTTGTTTTCTTTTGTTTCCTTCATCTAAAACACTATAAGTTGTCTATTTCCTGAAATGTGCTGTACAGATAAACTTTCCTTCCCTTTGTCTTCACACCAAGGTCAGCTCGTGCATATATACTTCTGTTTCATGTTTTCAACACTTGGGCTATATACCTCACATGAACTCAGATGTCCTTTTGTACAGATCTGTACTGTTTGCTAAAGTATTTTTATGAGTTTCCTTTTTTCTTTTCCTTTTTTGTATTCCAGGCACAGGAGAGCCATTCAGAGGAGTCGAGGGTCAAAGGTGAGAAGAGCAGAGGGCACCATGGAGAGTGAACCCGGGGCCCCTGCCTCTACGGCTGGTGGTACTGGGACTGTTTCCACTACCAGCAGCTCCTCCACCACCACCCCCACCCCAACCAGCAGCTCCTCTAGTGCCACGGCTGTTAGCACTACTTCTAACACTACAACCACTGCCTCTACCACATCAGGCAGCAGCAACACCAGTGTTAGTAACAGCAGTAGCAGTGCTACAAGCAGTGCTACCAGTAGCAGCGGTTCAGCAGGAAGACAGGCCGTGTCGCAGATATCCATCTATAGTGGCATACCTGACCGACAGACTGTACAGGTGAGTGTCATGGCGTTGGAAAAGAAGCACTAATTGTGAGCAAACTTTAAAACTCTGCTGCCATCTGTTGGTCTTTTTTTTATTATATCCAAGCTTTCATTATAATCCTCCTTCAAATTGGAAATAAATGACAGGGGTATGAATGGAACAGCCTAGCTGGTTGGAGCAGGCTTTAGGCGCCTTGGTGCTCTTGACCTTTTTCATAGAGGGTAAACTCCTACAAAGGCTCTGGCTCTGCTTCAATGAGGGCGTCTCAACTTTCAGTGCTCTTTCTTTGCCAGCAGGTTTATTGTTACAGACAACCCTCATTTTCCTGCACTGACAGCTAAACACCAAACATCAGTCACTCGTCTTAGGAGTGTAAAAGATCGCCGGTCATTAACACTTGGCAAGAGCCGAACTCATTCATGTTTTTCACCTCTGCTAATTTCACTCTCACGCCTGGAAGTGTTTGTCCGGATGTTTCCCCGACACAAAGAGCCCCAGGTCAAGATCCTGCCTTGTTACCAGGCAACAGGGCAGAGGTGAAGGGTGAGGAGAGCTGTTAGCACTTTAAAAGATTTAGGCTGTATTTAGACTAAATATGTTGAAATATGTAAAATATTCAATTCATTAAAACTTTAAGTTATTTTTGGAAACGGTGCCAACCTTTGTTGTAGCATCAGAAAAAAAAATATTTAAGAATGTTTTACTTTCTTTTTTGTCTTCATCACGTTGGACCAAAGCGATGTGGAGAAATATTTATCTTCCCATTTTGCAAATGCAAAAAAGCTTAGTTTGCAACTTTGTGTTTATTAATTATTTTTTCTATTGAATACATTTTAGATTTGATGTATTTGGAACTACTGTAAAACATCCAACTATTGATAACCTATATCATTATTTCTGGCATCTTAGACACAAACTACTATACCAGTTAGGAGCATCAAAATTCATTCAAATGATAAACAGAATTACCACGAGAGTATAAATGCAAAATAAATACAAAACTAAATAAATAAATACAAATAAATACAAAACTAAAGTGTGTAAGTTATTCTTAAGTTATATGCATCTACCTTTGCAGCACAGAAGCCTTTTCTGTTCAGGTGTCTGTTTCACAGTTCTTTAAACCTTCAATAACATGAGCGTATAAATATGCTCCTCACTTTTTGAGAAAACAACTAAACTTTAACCAATGATAGTTTTGCTATTTTCACTAACAAAAGTTATATTTAACCAAAAAAAATATAAAACACCCCAAAAGGAAATAAAAATAGTATGCCAGAAGGACACTGTCATTTTTCACACCAACATGTGTTTAACCAGAGATGTGCTGCTGGAGTATACATTTGAGAAGTCATGTAATGTGTGGTAGTACTAGAGCTATCGCAACCATAAGATGAAAGGATGAGTGAGGTTTGCTGCCAAGTGTGATGCAGTGAGAAAAAGCAGTGACACCAACCAAAGACGGCAGCAGCTCAAAGCCCTGTGGGTAATTCTGTGGTTTTTATGCAGGTGATCTTGGTGATCACCTATGTTTAGCCTTATGGGTATTGTTATGTGTATTCTGAAAGGGACTTTGCATGCTTCTCTCTTTTTTTTTTTTTTTAGATTAACCTTTACAACGTGACTTAAATATATATTTTATACTTTAACTTTCTGCATATACTATTCATTGATACTAGGCAAGGCTGTTGTATAGCAGTGGTAAGGCAGTGTACCTTTAAAAACTTTCTTTTCAGTGGTATAATGGGAATGCAAATAATTTAGAGGAAAAAGTGGACAATTCAAATAAGATAATTCTATAGAAAAGAAAAAAAATGATTGATTAAAAAAAAGTAAAGTTGGTTTGAAAACTAAATGAGTGTAAATAGCGCATTTAAAGGTACCATCCTTATGTTTTTGATCTTGGTTTATAACAACTGAGGGTTTCCGCACCTCTAAAAGTTTCTGGGACCTTTTTCCAGGTTAGTGGAGCATAAGAGCTAAACGCTGCTTTTCCTGTCTGGTTCTGATTATGCAGGGTTGATTAGAGCCAGAAAGCCTGTGACGTCTGGGCGGTTGATACATGAAAACAGTTCCGTTAGTCTATAAATCACTGAGGGGCTTACCACCGAAATACATGACAAGTGTATTATCTGAGAGACAGGGAGCTGGTGTAATTACTTTAGAACGGGGGGAATCTATTTTCTTAGTACTAGTGAGGATGCAGGCAGCAGCACTCTGGATCAGCTGCAGCTGCAAATAACTTTTTTTAGGCACACAGTTGTAGTAATCAATTCCACTAAAGGTGAACGCATGAATTGTTTTTCTAAGATCTTGTTATAACATCAGAGCTTTAATCCGGATGCTTTGCATTAAGTCTGTCACTTTGCTCTCAAACGGATACTCACTAATTACATTTTTCGTCAAGATATTTACTCCTTTTTCTGTAGTTGGCTTTGGCCAGTAGTTTTTTTGTAGGGGAGTCCTGGTGCAACTTTTTCATTTTTGATTCAATACCGATGGTAATGTTTGTTCATTACTCAGATGTTTTTGTGTCTGACCTTATTTTCAGGTTTTTCAGCAGGCGTTACACAGACAGCCCAACACAGCAGCACAGTACCTGCAGCAGATGTACGCTGCCCAGCAGCAGCATCTGATGCTGCAAACTGCGGCCCTCCAGCAGCACAGCCTGAGCACCGCCCAGCTGCAGAGCTTAGCGGCCGTACAGCAGGTCAGCAAACCAGCCTCTCCGGTACAAATCTTATTTCTTTAACTTTTTTGTTTGGTAGCAATCACAAAGTTATGCTTCTTTTATGGGTTATTAGAGCAATACAAAGTAGTAAACCTTTTTTCCTTCAATGAAAATACATTTTAAGATGTTAAACTACAATTAACATTTGGGGTGAGAATATATCTATAGTAGCATTGGTATTGGATGATGCTAGTCATCTATTATTCTCATAAACAAACTGGGCTGATGTTTAAAATTTATTTCCATCCTGCTGCGGTTTCCTAACAGCTTTGGGAGGTTTGTGAGGTAGTTGGCCATTGGTGTTGATATTGATAGTATGAAAATTAAACTGAAGCAGAGAAGCAATGTCTGAGGTGGGCTGATTTCTCACCTGTTTGAAAAGGTAGAGTTCTGTTTATATTGTTGGCAAATATCCAGTAAGAAAACAGCCTGATTAATACAGGATATTGATGTTGGTCCAGATGTTCATATCAGTGCTTCCCATATGTCCCATTTCCAGCGGCTCCACTTGGCTTGGTTCTACTCCACTAGGTGTGAGTTAGTAGCTTGGCTAATTTATCATAGGGTTTGTGAGCACAGATTTTCAGGCTTAGGTGTCTTTATCTTTTTAAAGATATCAGTCAAGAAACTATAAAGGAGACAAAAACAAAACTGTCAAAGAGGCAAAAACCCTTAGAGTGAAATACGAGGAGGTAGAGGGAGAGGATTACCTGGTTATCGGTTCATTGTTTTTAAGCTTATATTTCCAAATAGTTTCCAAATAGGTTTTGGAGAAGTTTAATGCAGGTTTAAGGTGGAAAACAGCTTTTATAGCTTTGAACATCTGTAAGAGTACAGTTAGGTCTATTGTCAGAATATTAACACAGCATGGCACAAAACAAGCTGGAAACTATGGACTCAGCCAGGGTCCAGAGTTCAGTCCTCCAGGATTACCCTGTCCTTTAGACTGCAAAACCAAAATTTGCCATCTAGTGGCAAAGTGTGATAAACTGCACTGTGTTTAATGTTTCTATCTGTGCACACAGATCACAATTAAAACGTCCAGTAGAGATGTGATGGCAGACATGGACAAATCATTGTGTACACAGAACCTCAGTCAACAGGACCAACGTTGGCCGCTCCATCAATCTGAGATGCGTTTTGATGAGCTCTTTCAGTTTGGTTAAATCCAAAAGTGGTTTTAGTTTTTTATTTTTTCGTTCAGTTAGTGTTGTTCCTGCAGGATAGTTGGAAATGGCCGTAAAAAGTCGTCTTTGTGACTGGCAGAAGTATTGTGGGAGATATGGCAAACTTTTTCATTTTTGGGCTAAATGCTGTATGCGTTAATAATAGAACACAGCTCTTCAGCTTGATCACACCATCCCCAGCATGAAACATTGGAATGGCAGTTTCATGCTCTAATGCATTTCTTCAACACAGATGAAGCCATTTATATATCAATCCTGGAAGACTGTTAAAGGATGCATAATACTTGCGTTGAGGCCGACTATCAGCATGCAAGCCAAAACATGGAGCTAGGATTACAATAGACCTGTTTTGGTCAGAGCATAGTGCTGAAATGGCCCAGTCATAGTCCAGACCACTAGTTTTTAACCCCGGTCCTCAAGACCTACTGTTCATGTTCTTGTCCTGCTGTGACACACCCAAAATCAAATGATTACGATACCTCCTTAAAAAACCACCAAATGCTTCAAAGGCCACTTAGTGTTGTTTTTATTTAATCCAGGTGTGTAGAGTCGGGGAATCTCCTAATATATGCAGAACAATGGGTCCTGATGACCAGGTTTGACACCCAGTAATCTAGACTAAAATTTAAGAGTGCACAGCTCATCTCCTGCTAACTGCTGAAACTTTTGGCTTTATTTTATTTTTTCCCCAAAAATACTTGTGGAGTATAGTCTATAGATGTGAAGCCAAATAGTTGCAGTTATGGTTGCAGTGGCGTCAGACGGTTGGATGCTAGATTTCTTTAGATTTGCATTTGTGAAATAATTTCAAAGCATGTATATATAGTTTTACTTCCATTTCAGTATGAAGCCCCATTCATGTCTTGTTCTAACCAAGAACGCTAATACAATACAGACACACGTTTGGCTGTTATAACACAAAACGTAAGATGTTCCAGGGATCCACTTCTGCATTTTGTTGCTGCTGTAGGCTTGTTACAGACTGGTTTTCAGAAACTGCACATTACCCTGTCCCTCTTCTTGTCTTTTATCCCTCATGACAGGCCAGTATTGCAGCTGGCAGGCAGAGCTCCACACAGAATGGCACTTCATCACAGCAAACTGGCTCTACTCAAGCTACAGTAAGTGCAGTCTGCAGTTCTATCACCTAAAAGCTTTTAAGGTTTAGATTTATGTCCAGTTTGATCACCTCAGACATAATATGATTTCAGCACCCTGGAACTTTCACTGCTGTCTTTTGTTAGCCAATCACATTACTTTTGAAGAAATCTAATGTAGAGGTGCCTTTTTAGAGAAGCTGGTTGATCAAATAGTGTATGTTGAAACCATTTATACATGTAGGTCTATAAAATGCTAATGCTGTCATTTCATTTCCTCCCCCAAAGATAAACCTGACCACATCCCCAGCAGCAGCACAGTTGATTAGTCGGGCCCAGAACATAAGCTCCACCCCCACCAGTATCTCCCAGCAAGCTGTTCTGCTCGGCAGCCAGTCCGGAGCCACTCTCACGCCCAGCCAGGCCCAGATGTACCTACGGCAGCAGATGGTGAGAGCCTAGAGACGAGGAGCAGAGCCTCCGGCACATTTACACAAGCTTCAGACAGCCATTAACTAAACACACTCATAAACTACCTTAGAGGCTGTTTGTGGTTCTCTGTCACATTACAGATGTTACAGTGGTGCAGCCTATGAGCATAAAGTCTAAACGGTGAAGTGTGAAGAGAATAGAAAAGACCTGATTTGAAATGGCTAATTTCTCTACTTAAAGAGGAACGCTGTTTTTTTTTTTTACATTAGGCCCTTGATTTTACATTATCACATCATGTTCTACTCACCCATATTAGTTTTGTGCGCACGGATGACATCATACACACTCCGCTTTGTTTAAAAAAAACATTTGAATATAAAAAATATAACTACGGACGTCTGGGGGACAGTGATTCACCTACATGTTATGAATGCAGGCGTATCATAACAAATAAATTATTATGAACAGTTTAGTTTGTGCCTTCAACTCGTTGCCCAAAGGAAGACGTTACTTGGATATAACAAAACCGAATATCTTCAGAACAGCTTAATCCTTTGTGTTAAAAAGGCTGATGCTAAAAGAAACAACAAGTGTTAGTGGTCCATAGAGCATAGCCAGTCTTATTTCTCAGCTTGTTGGACTTATCTATGTCACTGCTAGCCCACCAGATAATTTCATAAAAAAACGTGAGTTAATACAAAGGTTGTATTAACTCTCATGGGATTTTTTCCCACTCAGTTGTTGTTGATGTTAAAAGCAACAGAGAAATCAAAGAATATGATTCCATGCCTGGTTTTTCCAGATGACAGCTAACGTATTACAGGAAGTATAGGATGACATCTTCCTAGTAAGCAAACAACAACCTTTCAAGCCCCCCCCGAAGTTTACTTGTTGTGATGGACTGAATTGGATGCAAGTCAAAAAGATGCAAGTCTCTCTAAGACGGCCTGGCCAAAGTCGTTCATGGAGGGACGCTGTCCTGCAGGTTTTAGGTTTTCTTGCTTCAGTACAGCTGACTCATTGATGGCTCATTAACAGGCTTTTGCTAAACTGCTATCATCAGAATCAGCTGTGCTGAAGCAGGGAAACCTCTAAAGCCCTTGTCACACCTTGACGATTTAGACCAGCATATGCCTGACGTAAGAAAAGTCTGGCAAAAAAACGCTGGCTTACGTTGGATAAGTTATAGGTACGTTTTGTAATAACTTATTAGCACACTAAAACACGCTGGCACATACTGGCAAACGTCAACATACGTTGAGTACGTCGAGAAATTTTGAGTATGCTCAAAATTTCCAGAGGTATGCCAGCGTATCCCATACATGGGGCATAAGTTGCAGGTTAGTTATCTGATCGTTGAGATACTTTAAGTCTAAGTCACCGTTTAATGGCGTAATAGCAGAGTTATTCTTATTTTTATTTTTTGGGTGGGCGGTAAATGGAAGTCTGGTTAATACCGCGATCAAAGACTTCTTTTTATGCATGTCTGTAGGCAATGTAGGATCCTACATCGCTGCTCTGAACAGGTCCTCTGGACTCTGTGGTGCACAAACAGGCAGTAAGAGGCAGAATATGTTTGAATCACAGTCTCCTGATTTGGCTGAAGACGATGATGATGATACAGTAGAAGCATCCTGATCTTCACTGACCACACATCTTGGTTCTACTGGAGTTTTTCAGGAAAGCTGGGCAGTAAAAATGGACCCCTAATTAACATAAATAGAAAATACATCTGATAGAAATGTTGATCTTCTCACCTCTGATCCAAACAGCCTGGCATTCTGATGGATGTAGACAGGAAAGAATTGAACCTCTCAGCAGCTGCTTGCTAAGCTAAGCTAAGCTAGTGGCAGGGCAGACCTATTTTTAAAGGTTACATTTAAACAGGGTTTCAATTTAAAGTCTCTCGCTTTCACCAGATCATTATTCGTTTTTTGTTCATCCTTTTTGAAATGAGGACTAATATTGACTGATTAAAAAGCTTATATCATGATATATCATATTTCTCAGGCACAGCCCTATTTGTTAGTAGGCGTTCATAACCGTTGACTATAAGTGGAAAAAAAAACCCAGCAGAAATTGTTTCCACTAAACTGCATCAGAACCCTGTTTGAAGATATTTCAACAAATTAGTCTATCAATCAGAAAAAGTAGGAATACATTTTTTTAAAAGGAATAATAGTCAAATAATGTAACAAAGAAAAATGCAACAGGCTTTTTTATTAAGCGAGTTCTTTAGTCAGACCTCCTAGGTTTTATTTCCTAGGCAACCAGGGTCCCTAGTACCAGAGCTGCACACTTGGTTCACTTTTTTTTTTTTTTGCTCTGCCTTTTTTCTGTCTGAATTTGTTCATTATTAAATAGAATTATACTTTTGAAAGTTGAATTCAGATTTTTTTTTTATTTTTTTGTTTTTTGCTCCAGGCTCAGCAGAGTAACCTGGTGCAGGTGGCCAGGAGTCTGGGCCGGGCCGTTCCTCTGCCCCAGCAGCTCATCTTCACCCCAGCTGCCACAGTGACGGCTGTCCAGTCTGAGAGTGCCACACAAGCCTCCTCACAGGTAGGCTGAGCTTACAAACTATGCTATCCAGTCTAATTTACATTAGTAAATATGGTTAAGAAATGAAATCAACTCTATTTTTTAAGTTTAATAGTTTAAAAGATAAAAACAAATTGGTCACATTTCTAAAATAGTGACTGTATATCTGTCATTAGATTTCTTTGGCAGTCTCTAACATGTATCTTCCTATAACAGTTCTTAAAAAGCATTAAACTACAGTCAAAACTTGCTCACTGTCTATTCTTTGTCTTAAGAACCAGGTTCAGAATTTGGCTATTCGTGGCCAGCAGGGGGCGACCACATCCTCCTCTCAGACTCAGACCCTTCCTCTCAGCCTGAAGCAGAGCCCAGTACCCATTCAACCAGCTTCACTTGTGAAGAATCCCAGCCAAGGGACCCAGACCTCCTTAGCTGGGAAGTCCAGTCCCTCTGAGATTCCCTTAGATGGAGGAAAGAAAGGAGACGGTCCCGCCGTCTCAGAAGTTCGAGCCATAAATATGAGCCGCAGCATCACAGCTGTGAATGCTCAGCCTCTTATCGCACCTGGTAAGTGGAGGCCCTTTGTGATTCATGGTTTGAAAATAGAATATTATTTTTCTGTTTTTGTATCCATGTCTAATTTGATAACCACCTAAAGAATAAAATAATCTTGTCTTTACCTATTATTTATTTTCTCTTTTTAAAAAAAAACCTTAACTTATTATTGAAAGTTTTCCTTTAGTTGCAAGTTAAACTGATTTGCCTTCCAGCTGCTTAATGCTTCTAATTTAACCCTAAAATACACTGCTGTGGTTACAGATCCATTTATTTACTGGGTTTTGCTCAAACGCATATGATTAACCAAAGGTTAAAGCCAGAGTTTACAATTTCTTTTAAAACGCTGAATATATTAAATAAATCCAGTTTTTTTTTTTTTTTTTTTTACCAGAATTCTTCTTTTGAGGGTTTTCTTGATATTAGTGACCAGGTCTTTAGACATGGTGAACTGTAATGTAAACTGAAGGCTGTAAATATTTAGCGTCATTTTGGTCTGCCTTACTGAAACCAGAGTGCATGTTTTCTCTTTTTGGTTAGTGATGGAAGTGGGAGTGGGATTATCTCAGCCTGTCGGTGCACAACTGCATGTTGCTTTGTTTCAGTAATGGATTCGCGCGAAATGAAAGGGAGGATGGAAGCTGAAAATCTGGCTGCATGCTGTCTGGTAAAAGAAATGAACTTGGGTTGCCATGGCAGCAGGCCACCGGGGACAGGTGTGCACATGAGATGCTGTGGAGTTAATATAGTGAACAGGCGCAGAGGAAGCTGTAGGGATGGTAGATTGTTCTTAGATCTGGCTAAACCTTGGTTTTTGACTCATCTGTAATGGAGTCACTGAGGGCCGGTATTTAAGATTACAAAAGGGTTTTCTGTAGTGTAATAAAAACCCATAATGCCACATTTTGCATGCCCATTAAACTGCATTAACTATATTTTAAGCTGCATTAAAAAATGCAGTTTATTGTATAGAGATGTTTCAAGTACAAATTTACTACAATTTCACAGGAGAATTACATTTTTACAAAATATAGCATCATTTTGAAGGCTCAGAGCATGTGAACGGAGCGGAGCACCGTGCAAATCCTGCTCCCCGCTCAGGAGGATGTTCGCTCATTCGCTCCGCTGCTCAAAGTTGTGCCAGGACGCTCCGCTCAAAATCTGCTCCACACTCACCTTAATTTTCCTACCGCTCCAGCGAAATCGCTGCATGCTCGCTCAAACTTTTAGAAGGCATTTTCTGACATTTTTCCTTCATGTAATGATGCCACAGCCCTGCGACACACGGCGTTTGATTTAAAGATGCGACCGATACATGTATATTGTCTTATTAACTGGCTGTTAAATTATCCCACTGTTTCCCAGCTGTGAACGTAACACCTCGCTCCATTCATGTTGATGTTAATTATTAATTTGTTTTACTAGACTACCTTAAAAATGGTCACTTCGCATCCCGCTGCAAATGAGATAATGGTGTATAATGCATGTATGCGATCCATTTTCAAAAACGTGCTTACCACAACGATCACTTTATGTAAACCCACTCTTTATTGTTAAGTATAGTTAATGTATGTTTTTATGATATTTTATCACACAATATGCCATCCTCGTCTTGGAGATTCCGTGGCAAAGTTTAAACATAGACTAAATCAGATTATAGGCACAGACTACAGCATAGGCATTGGCCTAGATTTTAATTCAAAAAGGAATTTAAATAAAATCGGAGCGAACTGGGCGGAGCTAAATCCTCGCTCTTGTCTTTCCATTGAAAACTGCTCTGCACTCCACCTTATTTCTTCTGCTCCGTTCCGCTTACATGCTCGGATCAGGATGCATCTTTTAACAAGCTTACACTGCTAAATAACTAGAAGACTAATCACCCTTAACTCACCAAAAAACAGAAGGATTTATATTTTGACCTGTCTGGAGGGGATCAAAATATAGCATGATGATCCGTCTTATGCAGGACCTCAATTACATTTTACACCAAGTTACACTATATTGCCAAAAGTATTTGCTCACCCATCCAAATTATTGGAATCAGGTGTTCCAATCACTTCCATGGCCACAGGTGTATAAATTCAAGCACCTAGGCATGCAGACTGTTTTTACAAACATTTGTGAAAGAATGGGTCGCTCTCAGGAGCTCAGTGAATTCCAGCGTGGAACTGTGATAGGATGCCACCTGTGCAACAAATCCAGTCGTGAAATTTCCTCGCTCCTAAATATTCCACAGTCAACTGTCAGCTGTATTATAAGAAAATGGAAGTGTTTGGGAACGACAGCAACTCAGCCACGAAGTGGTAGGCCACGTAAACTGACGGAGCGGGGTCAGCGGATGCTGACGCGCATAGTGCGAAGAGGTCGCCAACTTTCTGCAGAGTCAATCACTACAGACCTCCAAACTTCATGTGGCCTTCAGATTAGCTCAAGAACAGTGCGCAGAGAGCTTCATGGAATGGGTTTCCATGGTCGAGCAGCTGCATCCAAGCCATACATCACCAAGTGCAATGCAAAGCGTCGGATGCGGTGGTGTAAAGCACGCCGCCACTGGACTCTAGAGCAGTGGAGACGCGTTCTCTGGAGTGACGAATCGCGCTTCTCCATCTGGCAATCTGATGGACGGGTCTGGGTTTGGCGGTTGCCAGGAGAACGGTACTTGTCTGACTGCATTGTGCCAAGTGTAAAGTTTGGTGGAGGGGGGATTATGGTGTGGGGTTGTTTTTCAGGAGCTGGGCTTGGCCCCTTAGTTCCAGTGAAAGGAACTCTGAATGCTTCAGCATACCAAGACATTTTGGACAATTCCATGCTCCCAACTTTGTGGGAACAGTTTGGAGCTGGCCCCTTCCTCTTCCAACATGACTGTGCACCAGTGCACAAAGCAAGGTCCATAAAGACATGGATGACAGAGTCTGGTGTGGATGAACTTGACTGGCCTGCACAGAGTCCTGACCTCAACCCGATAGAACACCTTTGGGATGAATTAGAGCGGAGACTGAGAGCCAGGCCTTCTCGTCCAACATCAGTGTGCGACCTCACAAATGCGCTTCTGGAAGAATGGTCAAAAATTCCCATAAACACACTCCTAAACCTTGTGGACAGCCTTCCCAGAAGAGTTGAAGCTGTTCTAGCTGCAAAGGGTGGACCGACGTCATATTGAACCCTATGGATTAGGAACGGGATGTCACTTAAGCTCATATGTGAGTCAAGGCAGGTGAGCAAATACTTTTGGCAATATAGTGTACGTTAAGTCTTTCTTTTGTAGTTCACTGCTGCTCATGTGCATGGATGCAGCTGTATTTTCAACTAATGCTTAAATGGAAAAAAACTTAAAATGTTATGAAAATGCATCCACTGATCAAAATTGAAATTGATACAGAGTTCATCTTTTTGACCGAGGGTAAAAAAAAACAGGAGAAAAGAAGTTTGAGAATCAGAGACGATCTTTCTCTACAAACCTCCTCTTGATGACACATTCTTTTTTTCTCTTTTAATTAGAATTTAGTTCAATTTCTTCATAAAAACAGTCGACAGCAAATGTTGTTTGAAGTCTATAGCTGCACAATGCATATTAAATATATCGTGAATGCACTAGTATCAGAGTGCAATATTCATTAAGGCCAGGGAAGGCACGTTTTATTGTATAGTACATTTTAATGTACAGTGGTGCAATATAATTCATAGTGTTTACATGCACGATAAAGAAAAGTACATTTTAATAACATAAAGGTAACACAAATAATTAAAAAGGTTAATTGTGCAAATGGATGGAGCGCTGTAAATGTTGGATATCATATTCCATGTGTTATGAACTAGTATTTTATAAGCTAATATGATACTTACCCAGTTGGACAGCAGCAGATGCTCACGCTGGACACAAATAACATTGCTGAAATGCTAAAGGTCACAGAGTTTAGATTGTACAGATTAGAAACGGGAAAGAAGAAAATAGAGTTGTGCTCATGAGTCAGAGATGGGGGATCTAGAGTCAACAAGTCATCTCTATGTCATGTATTAGTTTTGCTCAGCGACTGAAACACAAGTTAATTCACTCTGCAGATTGAACTCAACTGGTTCAGTTGCTGGTTCCCCCATCTCTGTCATAAGTTTACATATTGTCATTTTGTATAAACTCTGTGTATACAAAATGACAAAAGTCTAAGTCTAATATAAAAGAAATGCATTTCTTATACGAATAAATATAAACGTCACCCAGTCAGGTCCCACAGGTAGAACCAGGTGGCTCCTGTTTTAGGTTACATATCATTGATATGGAATAAATCACAAGAAAATGGAAACCAATATCCTCTAATGGCCAATAGTGAAGTGAGAATCAGCCATATGTAGCTGAAGTTTTTCTTGTCTTTATTTATTTGCTTTTGCTTCAATTAGTCATATATAAGTGCATCATATTAAAATGTTATGGATTATGTTACATTTAAATGAGCTAGACTGTGGAGTTTAATATAAGATTTAAGATGGATTTTACCAGAAAGGTGTGGCTTTTGCTACAATGGCTCATTTGGGTTCAGTCCTGTAACCAGCTAAATTGGACATCAGAGATTGTAGGATTCCTCTTTCAGCCACCCAGCTGACGTTTTTTTTTTCTTTTTTTTCTTGGTATGCAGCAGCCTGTGTTTGAGAGGTAGTCTGCTGAACCACTCTTTTAAACAAAATTAAATCTGCATCATTCTGGGATTAATACACCTAGTATGATGTGAGAGAAAGAGTGGCCAGAAATAAGTTTGGTTGTATGCAACATAAGAAATTTTTTAAAACTTCTGCATACAGATACTTGCAGTGCTAATGTTACTTATTTCAGCCATACTTGTGGTTTAACATTTCAACAATCAGCCTTCTGGGAAAAGCTTTCACAGAATTTCCAATATACTCATTACTCAGTGTGCCTTTGTCACTTGAGGAATTTGGGGGGGCAAACAAAATGTTATGGATGTCTTTTCCATATCTTTAAGTGTCTGTCATTGTCTTGTTCAGAAAGAGCAAAGAACATA